ACAGCTTTAAAGCTTTGCAACTTTAAAGGAATCCATTACCAAATAGGCTTCGCTAGATGAATCGGTAGTTGATGCTATTTTTCATCCCAAGAGATGATAATCTGTGTTATCTTCCGACTAATTACTGAATGTGAAAAAAATTTTTGACTGCCATCTATTAAACAAAACTGTGACTTAGAAATCAAATGTATATATATATATATATTGGGTATGAATTTGTGATAAAAGGCTGTAAGCGAATACGTGCTTTACTTGTATTTTGATAATGCAAGACGGAGAGTATTTAATTTGTAAATAAAGATAGAGAAAGTGTTTAATCTATATAGAAAATTAATTCTGTTTCATTTTACTTAACCGATTATTTTATCTTAAGAATGTTTATGTAACTAATTTTAAGGAGAATAAAACTGAATTACTTAAATCACTTATATTGCTACAAAACTACACAATGTTACAAGTTGGAGAACATTTATTATCATTATGTTGATGCAATACAATCTTTTTCTGTGATTATTAAGCTAGTATGCTAATTCGTGCATACATGTACAGCCCTTGACCAACTATTGCTTTTGTTGTGGCAACATTGCAGTATTCGTTATTGTTTGTTTACAGGTTCAAAGTTTATAGTAACCATATTTCGAATATTGATACAGTTTTTTAAATAAAGCTTGGGGTGTGAGAAAAAATAAATTAAGGCCATGTGGTTCTACAAAGATATTAAAGAAAAGAACAAAGCCCAGTCATAACTGAAAATGAAATATCCTTAAAATTGTGTGAAAATGAATTAGGATAAAAAGTGGACGTCATAGAAGGTTTCTGAAGTGTAAGCATAACTTGTAATTCTGTAAAAGCCCCAACCTGTAGTGAGATTTTGCTTCCTTCACTAAGATCAGTTTGTCAAATTCTAGAGAAATCTTGCAGGCAAACGTTACATACTTTAAGGATATCATGAGCAGACTCAAAATTGGCCACTTTAGAAACTTAGATGCCACAATACATCAACAGACGCTTCAAAGTCCGTGCTCGGAAATGGCGGGCTTTAAAAAGAAAACATAATTGGGGTGGAAAACTCTTCTACAGAGATCTCCTCGAAAACATATTAAAATATTGTGCCAGACTTTCAAAACACGATTTCTATTAACGTACAAAATATAACAATCTTTGGCATTCGCAGAAAATTCCAAAGGTGCGTGAAATATTATAACATTCAGCTATATTGTTTTATAAAGTTACAAAATATACGCCTAATTTTAAACTTTCAACAAAATGTTACTGTGATTTTTTTAAGCTACTCAGAATTACATTGCGTCATATGCATTAGAATCTATTAAATATTGAATTAAAGGATTTCAATCTAGACAAAAACTAGTCAGACTTGAACAACGTTAGAGAAAGTTTGTTCACCTTTAAGTGGTAGTTACTGTATGGTGAGTCACTGGTAATAGTGATCGGATTTACGTGCATTATATGAATGACACACATTGCCACTACTCAGTGTTAGAAACAAA